TGGGGAGAGTGGGAGGAGGGAACATGGGGGAATCCGCGACTGATATGTGAAATTAAGTTAATTATAAAATAAAATACATATATATAAAAAGACCTGCTTCCTCAGAACTTTATTCTTTCTCTTCAACCTGCCCCTGAGTGTGGGCCTAGACCCTTGTAGCGGTACTCATTTGCTGAGCTCTTGCTATACAGTTATGTGGTCCGTTGCCATTTTGTAAGAGATTTTTCTACCTTTAGAAAGTACGGTTTGGCTTTTCCTATCTTTTCTTACTGAATAAATCCACAGAAGCTTTAATCTGTTAATTTGACAAAGAACACTTTACTTATTTTGATGCTTAATTTGATAGTCAACTAAATTGGATTAAGAAACACCTATAACATTAATGAGACAGACTTTTGGGTCTGTCTGTGGGCTTTTTTTTTAAAGATTTATTTTTATTTTATGTGTATGAGTGTTTGTCTTCATGTATGACTGTGTATCACTTGTGTGCCTGGTGCCTGTGGAGGCCAGAAGAAGGCATTAGATCCCCTGGCCTGGAGTTATAGAGGGTTGTTAGCCTCCGTGTGGGTACTGGAATTCAAATTTGGATCCTCTGGTAGAACAGCCAGTGCCCTTAACCTCTGACCCATCGCTGTAACCTCAGTGAGGGCTTTTCTTGAGAGGATTAATTGAGGAGGGAGACTACAGTGAATGTGGACATTAGTATCCCATGGCTGGGTGATGACTGAGTATCAAAGGAAAAAGGAGAAAGCTAGCCCCACGTTGGCCTCCCCCCTGTGTCCTGAGACACATATGTGAACAGGCAGCTTCACACTCCTGCTGCCCAAGCCATAAGCTGCTTCTTCTAGCATGCCTTCCCACCACCACGATCTGTCTCTCCTGACACTAGGGGCGAAATAAGTCCTCCCTTCCTTAAGGTGCTTTTTTTTTTCTTCTTGAGACAGGGCTTCTCTGTGTAGCTTTGGTGCCTGTCCTGGATCTCACTGTGTAGACCAGGATGGCCTTGAATTCACAGAGCTCTGCCTGCCTCTGCCTCCCGAGTGCTGGGATTAAAGGTGTGCGCCACACCACCACCACCACCGCCCAGCTTTTAAGTTGCCTTTTGTCATCAGATATTGGTTACATGAGTGACAAAAGTAACTAATGCACATACCGTCAAAAGGAGTGTTCATCGTTTCTGTTGTTTTCAGATTTCATGAGGTTTCTCAGGAAGCAGCCTTTCTTTTCTAAAATACTGTATAAATTTATTTTTATTTTTAGGGTGAAATATTCTAATAGTATCAAGGAAATGGTCATTCTCTTTGCCACAACCATTTACAGAATTGGACTGAAAGTGCCTCCTGATGAACTAGATCCACGAGTTCCCATGATGACCTGGAGCACATGTGCTTTCACTATCCAGGCAATTGGTAAAGTCTATTTAAAAAAGTAAATTAAAAAATGGTTTGGAGGTGTCAGTTAAACAAAATTTACATCAGTTGACCAAAACACATTTTGTTCTGCTGCTGATGACTTGGAAGAGGTTGCTGTATCTGAGGACTGCTAGTATATCAGTGTATTAGTGTGGCCTGAGAACGTTTCATCTATTTATCTTCTCACTTACTGGAGTAGCCCTGTGTGAGTGATGCATTAAGCACTCTAGTCCACCAATGGTGGATGTACCAACACTAGATCAAGAACAAATGCCAGTGGAAAGAATCAACTAGGACTTCACAGAAAGGTTATTTTATACTTTGAGAGAAGAAGAAAACAGGGCCAGAGTCACAAACCAACAGTTACTGGAATAGGAGGAAGTGTGCGGTAGTGGGAAGAAACAGATCATCAAAACAAGGTCTGAGTAGTAACTTGTCAAATGCTTTGCCACATTGAAAGTTTCCCAGGGAGAGGCAGAGGAGGTGAGCACTGAGGTCTGTAAGTGAGCGTGGCATTGTGTAGAATTGTAGGATATCTCTTTCACATCACTGCTCTTCTTCAATACAGTTTTTGGGTCACATTTTGGGGGGTTTTGTTTTTCTTTTTTTACATTCTGACTACAGTTTCCCCTCTCTCCTCTCCTCCCATTCCATCCCTGCATTGGTCACAGTTTTTAATGACGTCAACTACATTTTCATCGCTTAATTCCTTTTGTACCAATATACACTATGTCATAACTTGGCTTGAGTAACATGCGTGCACTTTTTCTCCAAAACTTTCTTGCTTCAGTCTCAGGATAGATTTAGGAGTCGCTCACAAACCCTTTAGACTTAAATCATGAGTGTAGGGTAATGCACTGATGTGTACTTACTCAGGTTGAAGCTACATAGTGAAACCCTGTCTTAAAAACAAACCCACAACCAAAACATATAACTTAGTAATATTTTTGGATTTGTTATGTTTTTCTTTTTAAAGAAAACCTACTGGGAGATGAAGGGAAACCTCTGTTTGGAGCACTTCAAAATCGGCAGGTATGTATATTCCAGTAGATTTCAATAGTGTCTGGGGTACTGTCTTAGAATGAGGGTTCTGTAGCTTATTTATCATGGATACACAGGTAATCCCTCTTCTGTAAAGAACAGCAGAGCTAGGGTGTGGGGCATGCTACACTTCGGGAAACATGGTGGTCAGTGCTACATGCTTTACAGATTATCTCAATCTCATAGTTAAATGTAATTCACAGATTGCAGGTGAATTGCCTGTTTTTCTGCCCTAAAACCAGACACATCCTGTTTTTCCCATCACTGGTGCTTCACCGTCATCTACCATTGAATAGTCATGGGTTCTGCTCTAGACAGATAATCAGACTGAGTTAAAGACCAGACACCCCAGGCAGCGTAGATGTCTCAGTGGGTAAAGACACTTGCCATCTAGCCTGACAAACTGAATTTGATCCCAGAGTAGACATGGTAGAAGAAGATAGCAAATTCACCCCAGTTGTCTCTGACCTCTGCAGGAACTTAGCAGAGATTGGAGGGGACTGCTTACTGGCTTGTTCCCCATGGCTTCCTCAGTTTGCTTTCTTACAGCACCCAGGACCACCTGCCTACTGGGAATCATCAATCAAGAAAATGTCCCACACGCTTGCCTACTGGTCAATCTGATGAGGACATTTTCTCAATTTAAGTTTCCTCTTCCCAAATGACCCTAGCTTGTGCCAAGTTGATCAAAATAACCTGGGCATGGGCATGCAAGTGCATACACACATATGCACACATACATACACCTCAAAAAAAAATGGCAACTCTGAGGTCTGTGAAATGCGCAGTGGGTAAATGTGCTTGCCACTAAGCTTGGTGATCTGATTTTAGTCTCTGGGACACACCTGGAAGAAGAGAACCTACTCCTGCAAGTTATCCTCTGACCCCCACAAATGTTTGTGCATCATACAAAATAAATAAATAATATTTTTTAAATAAAAAGAGCAGGCAGCCCTGGTAACTAGTAAGTATTCAAGCATACATGAGACCCTTGATGAAACTTTCATCACCAAAAATAATAACAACACAATAATAATAATAATTCTTACCTTCATGTTCTTCATGCCAGTATCTCTGAAGAGCCATGAAATGCACCTTGGTAGCTGTGTTGTTGGTTTTTGTTTTGTCAAGTGTGCTCAATAATAGTGTTGGGAAAGCAAGAGGGATGCCTGCAAACACTCCCTGGACTGCTGCTGCTCCCTAGGCACTGCCCTCCCTCCTGGGTTTATAAAGTTACAAAGCATCAGTGTATCGTAGCCTGGGATTGGTTATTTATGGTCCTGACCTAACTCTGTCATCTTCCCTTACCATTTTACTTTACCTCTCTCACAATCTAGCATAATGGGCTGAAAGCTTTAATGCAGTTTGCGGTTGCACAGAGGATTACCTGTCCTCAGGTCCTGATACAGAAACATCTGGTTCGGCTCCTATCAGGTAGGGACTTCTCTTAGTTATTACATTAACGTTTACATGTACTTTCTTCTGCAATTATGGCAGTTTATTAATTAGGAAATGACATCTGTACTGATTTTGAACACTCACTGATGAAATCCAACTGCCTGAGCAGGTTTACCCAGATGAGTGGATGCACAACCACCCTGTAATGACTGCAATGTTACTTTAAAATGTATACTTTTAGAGCTGGGCATGATGGCACACGCTTTTAAGTCCAGCATTCAGGAGGCAGAGGCAGATGGATCTCCGTGAGTTCAAGGCCAGCCTGGTCTACAATGTGAGTTCCACGTGATACTGGAACAAAACTGAAAACTGGCATGATCCTGATTAACATTTCTTTTTAATGGAAAAGTCAAAGTATAGTGAGATCATAAAACATTTTTATGTACTAAGAATATTGTAGCCAGGCATGGTAGTGCCCACCTTTAACTCTAGTACTTGGAAGGCATAGACAGAAAGATCTCAGAGTTCAAGGCCAGCCAGAAAATACATAGAAAGAGACCCTGTCTCAAAAAAAAAACAAAAAAAAAAACAAAAAAAAACAAAAAAAAACCCTGTAAATAGTTGATAAAGTTATAATGCATCAGTGTATAGTAGGCTGGGATTATTTCGGTTCTACTTATTTCATCTTCTTGATAATATAGTGACCCTGTTTGTCTCTTCTGTTTGGTTATGGTGTGCAGCCTGCTTGATCAGACGTAAGAGTTGCTAGGCCAGCTTGTTTGTGGCTTCCATTAACATATTAGCTCCATCCTTTGGCTTGGTATTTTTAATGTCTTTTCTATTTATGTGAGTTTCTTGGAGACAATAGATAATTGGACTTCAGGTTTATAAACTAGTCAGTTTATTTGTGTCCTTTTCTTGGCTAATAGAAATCTTTCTACTAAAGGTCGTTTTGAGAGAGATTTTGATGAAATTTTGAGAAAAATCATATTTTCCATAATTTTCTTAGTTAATGTTCTGGTTGACTGAATTATTGATACTTCTCTCCCCGTCCCCTGTTAGTATTTGGGGTTTGTTGATTTCCTGTGTTGGCTCTCCTTGATTCCCTCGGCTCTTGGCTTATTTTCCTCCTACAGAATGTATTGTTCCCTGTGTTCTTTTGGATGAAACTGTCTTTCTTATTTTCATATGTATAGTATTCCTTTAGCAATTTTCTACAGTGCTAGCTCAGTTGTCATGAATTGTTTAAATTTGTCTTGAAATGATATTATTTTTCCATCAATTTAAAGAGATGTCTGTAGCTAGAGTTTTCCTGACTGTCCCAAGGTCAGGACAAATCTCTCTCACCCGCCAGTCCCACAGCCACTCAGACTCAACCAAGTAAACACACAGGGACTTACACTGCTTACAAACTGTATGGCTGCAGCAGGCTTGTTATCTAGTTCTTATATCTTAAATTAACCCATATTTATTAGTCTATAAGTTGCCACGTGGCTCATGGCTTACCAGTACCTTACATGTCACTTTTCATGGCGGCAGATGGCATCGTCTCTCTGACTCAGCCTTCCACTTCCCAGAATTCTCCTCTCTCTTTGTCCCACCTATACTTCCTACCTGGCTACTGGCCAATCAGTATTTTATTTATTAACCAATCAGAGCAACACATTTAACATACAGAACATCCCACAGCAGATGTCTCTGCCTAGAATAGCAATGTTTGGTTTACAGTTAATTAGTTACCTCCAAGTCTTGAAACACATCATTCCTTTCTTTCCTGCATCTTAGGTATGCTGATAAAAAATGGAATATTATTCTGATGTTTTTTCTTGAACACCTGGTCCTCTGCCTCTGATTTCCTAGTGCTGGATTACAGATGTGGGTTATCATGGTCCTCTGCCTCTGATTTCCTAGTGCTGATTACAGATGTGGGTTATCATGTCTGACTTATTGCTTTGAATTTTTAAATTATATGTACATGTATGTTTACACGTGTGTGTCCGTACACGTGCTTGTAAGGGGTGGGGTACATGTGCACAGAAGTGTGGAGGCTAGAAGATAGCTCTAGGTGTGTTCTTCCTCAGGCTCTGTTTGCCTTTTTTTTTTTTTCAAGTCCTAGTCTCCTGGTGACTGGAGCTGGCCACATAGATGAGGCTGGCTGCCCAGGGGGTCCCAATGACTCCCCTGTCTCCACCTTCTCAGCACTGGGGGAGCAAATACATTCCTACCCCACCTGGCTTTGGGGTGTGGATTCTGGGGCTCAAACTGCTTGTGTGGCAAGTACTTCGTTAGACTGAGCCAGCTCCCAAGGCCCCCAAATGCAGAGTCTTCTATTTTTTAGGTAATTGGGAATGCTTGAAAAGTTTTGGGTAATGGTGTCCTTATAATTTCAGATATAAGGGATCCAATGCTCTTTTCTGACCTCAGTGGATACATACATAAATGTGCACATACACATAGATGCAAACATACACTTAGGTAAATAAATAATCACCATCTTTGAGAAAATCATTATCTTCATTTGCAGTGAGGAAAATGGCATGTCCACTATTGTAAACCAGGAAGAGCAAGAACTAAGGATGTAACTCACTGGTAGATGTTTGCCCAGCATGCATAAGAACTGGGCTTGATCCCCAACACCTCAGAAGAGGGAAGAGGATATGAGCTATCAATAAAATGAAGAATATGCATGCTAAAGTTAACTGTCACTCTAAAGGAATTCAGCTTTATTCTTGAGACAGGGTCTCACTGTGTAGCTCTGGCTTGCCTGGCACTCAAACTTACTGTCATCTTGTGTCACAGCCTCACAAGGACTGAGATTACAAGCTTGTGCTACCACCACCTATTCGTCAGAGGAATTTTAAAATAGGTATTTATAGTAACAGGGGCGGTGGCTGGTGATTTAGAACTGCCTGTAAGAAAAATGTAATGGTAGAGTATCCCAGTCACTGAAAGAACAAATTCCAGGGCAGGGATTAGGAAGTTATTTAAATGTCCTGACAGTAAAGCAGTTTGTAATCCAGAAAAGACAATACGATGGTTATTTGCTGACTGAGTTAACAGAAATGTTGCTGAAAAATTTTAATACAAAGAAATGAGACCTAAAAATAGCAAATGGCTTGTCAAGGACACTGAGTCTGTTAGTGGTAAAACCCTGTGATCATTTTAGTTTAAGATAGAGAATAGGAATAACAGTAGTTATTGTGTGCATGCCTAGGATAAGTCCTTTAAAAGACTCTGTTAATGAACACCTCAGCATTCTGTAAATACTATAGACTTAGAGAAGTTAGGTTGCTTCCCTGTGACAACTAACCAGTACTGGAACCTATTTCATTCGTGTATCCAAAAATCATGATCTTAATACTTATGCTATTTACTTAGAATATTGGAGTTGAGGTTAAGAAATTAACACAGTCTGAGAAGAGTCTTCTCTCCCTTAGTTTTATGAGTAATAGTTGTGTTGGGGCCGGAAAGATGGCTCAGTGGTTGAGAATGCTAGTTCTGCTATCATGAAGAGTGGAGTTGACATCCCAGAACCCACGTTACAAGCAAGGCACCCCACAAATGCCCATACCTCAGCTCTGGGGGGAGGGATGGGATAGAAGTGGAGACAAGAGGATCGCTGGGGTTTGCTGGTTTCCAGGTGAGCCTAGAAAATGTTAGCCCCGGGTTAAGGGAGACTCTGCCTCAAAGGAATAGGCAGGTGTTGATAGAAGAAGCCCAACACCCTTTTCTGGTTTCTGCCTTTGCACATAGGTGCACACACATGTACACACATACATGCACGTGTACACACACACACACACACACACACACACACACACACACACACACACACTCTCTTGAAATAAATTTAAGATTTTTAAGTAATACCTGTACTGGGTATGTGGTGGTGGTTCTGTCATTAAAATACTTGCCAAGTAAATATGAGGACCTGAGTTGTATCTCCAACACCTACATGAAAACTAGGCATGGTGGTATGTACCTTTAATACTATCAAGGCAGACACGGGTGGATCCAAGGTGCTGGCTGGCTGGCAAGCCTACCCTAACTGGGGAGCCATAGGTTCAGATGAGACATCCTATTTCAAAAAACAAAGTAGACAGCACCTTAGGGCACCCAAGGTGACCTGGCCCTCCTATTACTCTGCGCACACACCTACACACATACACAGAAGTAGTAACTATATTGATATGCAACATGTCATCTTGTTTATATATATATATATATATAGAACTATTTCTAGCAAGGCATGATGGCTCATGCCTGTAATCCCAACACTCAAGAGGTTAAAGCAGGAACATTTTTAGTTCCCAGGCCAGCCTAAGCTGCATAGCAAGACCGGTTCAACAAAAGAAAAAGAAATGAAAATCTTGTTGTCTTGACTTTTTGATCTAATTGCCTTGCCATTCTTTTTCTTTCTTGTGGATTTATTAGTTTTCATTAGAGCTGATCAAATCGAAAAGATAATACTTTGGAGTATGTGTCAGTAAACACATTTAAAGATAACTTTGGATGGCACCAAAATGTGCCATTGTTACAGAAAGAAAGGAAATTCAGCAGTTCCCCTGGATTAATTTAGCCAAAAGCAAGTCCAAATTTGAATTCTCCACTTCTTTCCCTGTGTGTTCCATTTATCTGTAGTTTATGGTTTCTTACTTGTCTGTCTATACCTACCTAATGTCTGTCTCTCTTTCTGTGTGTCTTGTTCCAATTAAAGTGCTTTGTTCTGTATGTGTAGAACAGCACAGAAAACATTGCATGGGGAAAGGAATAAGGGATACTTTACATCTTTAACAGCGTTTTATAAGGGATATTTTCCCCAACTGATTCCAAATGACACCAAAGCACTCAGTACTACAAACATTGTGTTATTAAGCAATATCCATATGCTATTTCCAACATATATGGTAGATATTTGTTATATAAGGTCACTTTCAACCTGTTTGCTGTTTTCAAATGATTACCATAACACATATATTTACACACTTGTATTGCTCTCTGTGTCAGGGGCATGGAAGTTACATAATGCATTAGTTTTGATTGTAAAAGATGAATATTGGGGAAACCCAAGGCACTTAAGGTTGGTTGTTACATTGTTCTCTTAAAGGCAGGTTAAATAAGGTATTAAGCAAGGTATTAAGCCAAGTCCTAAGTGAATCCAAGGTATAGCATCAACTCGGTTGTGAGGTCCAGTTGAAATTCCAGTATCTTTTGAGTGTAAGAGATATTTTCATAAAAATGTATCACATTCAGATTGTCTATACTTCCTCCCAATCAACAGTCCATATAATTTGTTATCTAATTCTGTACCAGGAAGGTTTTGTTTCCTTTTTGTTAATGGATTTTGCTGCTTCTTCTTCTTCTTTTTTAATCTTTCTTATTTATTTGTTGGTTTTTAATGCACGTTGGTGTTTTGCCTGCTCGTATGTCTGTGTGAGGGTGTCAGATTCCCTGGAACTGGAGGTACAGGTAGTTGTGAGCTACCATGTAGTTGCTGGGAATTGAACCCAGGTCCTCTGGAGGAACAGCCAGTGCTCTTAACCACCGAGCCATCTCTCCAGCCTCCAGTAAGGTTGTCTGTGTCCTCATTTCCTTTGCAAGCTCTCCCTGTTCACCATCCCAAATCTGTTCACATACTATATATCACAGAACATTTAACAGTGTTCAGGTGGTGGACCAGTGATAGAATGTTGTTATAAAAACTGTTCTTCTGGAGAGAGAACAAGGAATAGGAGACCATGATAAATAAAGACCACATGAGAAAAGGAAGAAACAAAGAGCTAAAGAGGCCCACAGAAATCCACAAAGATACACCCACAAAAGACTGCTGGCAATGGTCGAGAGACAGCCGGGACTGACCTACTCTGGTGATGGGATGGCCAAACACCCTAATAGTTGTGCCATAAACCCCATCCAAGG